AAAGTCTTCACAACTTCACTTTGCAGCCATTAGTTTTGGCCCCACGGGAAGCTATTTATAAATATCTGAATTAATTAAATCAACTCTGTACAGCAGAAAAAGGAATCAACTTAGTATGGTCGCTATGGCAACTAATATTTCCTGGATGTAGTTCTGCTGCTAATCAGCGATGGCCTCCCCACATTCCTAACAATGGCAAAAGTTGTTGGGCTTTTATTGTTTGTTTTGTATTGAACGTGTTCCTACGGATTAAGACAATAAATGTGATGTCGGAGTATTTTAGACAAAGATTCCTTGCCAGTAGTATTTTATGCTGGTTTTAAAATTATTAGGAATTTGAAACTGGGATCCGTGATTTTCCTGTCTCCTTGCCCCTTCCTATCTCCCACAGGTACGGTGAAAGTCTCTGCTACCCTGCGAGAATCCTTGGGCTCTGACTCTGCATTTTGTTACTAAAGTGACCCCTTCACCTCTGAGAGCATGACTAGAAAAAATGACGGCACGAAACACCCTCTTATTTTCAACAGGCAGTCTTGGCTGACCACTGTGTCCACACTAGGCAAAAATAGAAAATAAAAAGGCACTGACACTTTGCCAGGCCCCATCTGCGAAGTACACTCCTGGCTATGTCAATCACAAAAATGAGACCCTATGTGCAGTACACGGTAGAAATATCCAAGTCACCTCTGTGCGTAGTCACTGAACTTGCCAAAAGCGTCCACAACCTCCCTGGAGTTTTGTGAATGCCATGCTGTGTGGACTGAGAGCCTTTGGTGGGCTGTGGGTATCTTGGAGGGTTTCCTGAGCCTGCCTGATCTTTGGTGGAGCCTGAAGGTACCACGAGGTTGTGTGAGCTTCCTTTCTTTTCACTTCTTCATTTCTTTTCTTGAGTAGCTAAACCAAGATTTTAAAGATGGTTTCAAACAAACACCAGTCTTGCCCATTGACAGATGAGATGGTGCATCCAGGACAGGTCCACAGTTTCCCCCTGCTTTTACTTTCCTGTTCTTTTAAATAGCAGCCTCAGAGCTATGTGGTCGGAGCGTCTGTCTGTCCAGGCACTTCTTTCCTTCCCTTTAATCACTAGCTAAATCCATTGCTTGGTGTCAACCAAATGCAGCAGAAGAGGTCAGTTCCCACAGTTAAGGTCGTACAAATTTCATGCAAACAGGTTGCTGGTAGGGAAAAGAGATCCTTGCCGTGCCCTGACTGTTAGGAAAGTTAGATCGCTGTCTTGTTAGACAAGAATCTGCATCGGGGCTGGGGTAGGTGGTGAAGAAGTACACGTGCTGATTGCTGCAGTTCTGGGAGAAGCTTCAGCAGAAACCTTTAGGCACTGGTATCAATCAGTTGGAAGAGAGGGGTCTGTATGAAATCAGCCTTCAGAAGCCCCTGTGCCTGACATCACCTGTCTTACACAGGCAACTAAATGGTTAATATTCACCTCTAAATGCCTTCTCACAGATTCTGGTGTCTATTCAAATGTGCGGTTTCAGACTGCGATCCCACTCCGAGCATATTTATTTATCTGCTTGTTATAATTGCTATGTGATATCTCGGAGAATAAGAGAGGAACCTGTTCAGGCGAGAGGTGCGTTAGGTTTGTAAACCTGAAGGCACACCTTGCACGTGACCAAAACTGCAGCAGAGCCAGGTGGAGATGCCGGAGGAGAGGAAACGCGTGGTTAGTCTCTGATTTGCAAACCCACTGTATCCACGGCTGAGCTTTGGGGTTTGGTTTTTTGGTGTGTGTGTGGGTTTTGGTGGTGGTTTGTTTCATTTTTCAATCTATCGGAAAAAACTCAGGCTAGCAAAAGAGCTATAAGGTGTTTAGAAAATGAGTAGCAAACTGCTGGAGCTGCCAGGACTACCCTCCCTCTGGTCTTCAGCTTTCAAGCCCCTCCTGACCCAAGTCACCTTCTGGGGACAGCGGGGAGAGCAAAGGAAACTTGTGACCTCTCACCCACATCGGCCCCGCGGCAGCAGGACCAGCACAGCAGCCCCGGCTGGTTCCCGAGCTCACGGCTAGGCTCTTGGCAAGAGGTTATCTTTATTATCCAGTCTCTAAAAATCAAGTATTTCTAGTAAAATTAAATGCTGCCGGACTTGCCCTGTATTAAAGAAGGAGCATTTCCAGGTGCGACTAAGAGGTTCATAAAAATCTGAAGTCTTTTGAGGTCGGATAGCTTAGTAGGATAGGGAACTGAGAGGTGCGACCAGCTGCCTGTTAATGGGGTGACAGCTCCAATGTAAGGCTCTCTGACATTTTGCTTCATGATGCACACATTGTTTAAAAAAAAAAAAAAAAAAAAAGAGGAATGAAAATGAAAATGTAAATAAATGCAAAGGAATCCTGGGGACACAAGAAATCAACAAAACCGTTCCATGAAAAATAAACTCCTATTGCTCCATACTGGGGTACTGGCCGTATATATATGTTAATTCTTCTAAGCCTCATTTGCCTAACAGCATGGAAACTGCCATCGTTTTCAGAGCCGCTATCAGATAACTTGCACTGACATCAGCTGGATCGCTACAAACAGCCCTAGTGGCTGTATCCTTGCATCTACTCCTATCGAGGTGCTGCGTGTTTTTGCTACACGTAGCCTTGAAGACAGCCAAACACAACCTGACTCCCCAGGACGTCTGTGCTGGGAGAAGCTACGCGGCATGCTGCAGGGACGGGGCTCTGAGAGGTTTCCTCTGGCTGGGGCTGATCTGACATTTCAGCTGATCCCTTGCTGGTGCAGGGGATTGCTTTTCCCCGTGTCTCTCTTTTCCTACTTTTCTCTCAAATTTGATTCATTCAGGCAAGAAAACTGTTGCGTGGTGCCTAGCTTTCACTTTCAGGAATGTTTTCCTGACACTTCATGGGTCACGGCGGCACCGAGAAACCCCAAGCAAGGGCTCCCAGTGCCATGTGCTAATGCAAAAGAGACGCAGCGAGAGGCAGATGGTGTGGATCTGAACCGCAGAGATACTCTGAAATCGCAAAAACACTTACACACGTACTTAACTTAACTTACTACAAGGAATTCAGTTATTTCCTAGGGGCCTTCTCACATGTTGCAGATATGTATTACACAGGCTGACAGCACAGACAAACCCAGTGCAGCTGACACAGGACGTTTTGACAGAACAGGGAACTGAACCAAGTGCCCCCAAGAACAGAATCTCTACTCCCACCACACACCCATGCATCCTTTCAAAAACGTTTCCTCTCCTTAAATAAAAATAGGAAAATATTTTCCTATCCCCTTGCATATAATACTGACTTTAAACAATTCCTCTTATTCTCCAGTATTTCACATGAACTTCTAATCTGGGTTGCTTTTAGCTTCTCCAGCTTTTTCAAGCCAGCTTCCTCCACCCCCATTTTAATAAAACATGATTAACATGCTTGAGAGATGAACGTGAACAAAAATCTCCCCTTCCCTCCAAAGTATGGCATTCATGAAGATATCATGAATAAGTAAACATTATCTAGTGTTCTGTTTCTTTTGTCTAGCTTATTAGTGTTGAGAAACCTTCTTCTTCATTTATTTATGTTGGTATTTTATTTCCTTACTGAGTTTCAAAGATGAACAGAGAAAAATAAATACCACAGAAATAGCTGATAGGCTGAAATGGCCATGTGTTTTCCCAGGGATGTAAAAAACAACATGCTTTAATATGAAGTTTTTGTTATCTTGTTATTTCATTTAATACAACTAATAATATGAAACCTATGACAGTCTGCGCATGACAGTAGCTAGAGAGCCAGAGCAGCAATGTGCAGGAATCCAACTTATTCTCATAAGACTGATTTAGTGATATTGGTGTCCAGGCCCCTAAATTGCTATTGTGCTTTGAACCGTGGCAGAAAATGTACAGACCAGCAGCCAGTCAGTTTTCCACAGACCTCACCGAGGTCCCAGATACACTCCTGCATTTCGTACCTTTTCCTAAATTCCCTCGAGAGACCCTGCAACACAACATACCTGCAGTTCCCCGTGGAAATGACTATGCGTGAGATCAGGTCAGAGAGCAGACTGATTCTTGCTTACTTGACCTTGCTAAACTCCTTAGCAGATCTTGGTAAAATGATCAAATGGCAGAAAAATTCTTGCTCAGACTGTGATTTGAAAAAGCACTGAATTGGTAAATTGTAAATTAACTAATCTTGACCAACGCTAACTGGGTAGACCAGATGTCTTAGGACAGAAGAGCGTGAGTCTACATTTTGTGTCTTAGAAAATCCAAGCCCTGTACCTGAGCCTTATAAGCAATTAACAGGAAATTTAAATTGTTCGATGTTGACAGGGTCTGGTTTTCAAAGCTGTGAAAATTATTCAGTGGAATTAAATCCGACTTGATCCTCATACATGGCTAACCAAAGGGCAACGTGATAGCTTTTCTGCAGCACTGCTAACACACTCACAGCTGCGGCATCTTAGCAAAGGTCCTTTCCAGAGGGGAAAATGGAGGCATTAGAGCATGACACGTTTTCTGTGTCCTACTTCATAACCTCACACCTTAGATGACCTGCGAAAATTAAGACTAGGGGACTAACTTCACAAGCCAGCCAAACAGTACTATTTTTATTCTCATGACAAAGTCCGAAGAGTTTTTTCCTTCTTCTTTTTAAAGACAAAAGTCATGCCTTTTCCAAGTGAGGGCAATAAAAGCTACAGGAATGCTTGAAACCCCCACATTATCATTCTGGGTTGCAGCAATGAGTATGTAGATGCTACACCAATGAAGTGCTAACATGCTTAAATTTCCACTGGTAACAAGCAACAAGTTATAAAGATTTTGAAGCTGTAGCCCTCAGGGCTAGGAACTTAGAGGTTAAACAGATTTTTTGACAAAATCTGACTTTCAGATTTGTAGCACGACTATATAAAGCAGTAGTGATTCAGTGCAGGTGGAACTCCTCCCTTCTGAGTCACTGGCAGGAAGACAGGCAGGGGACCTGCAGGTGTTACTGTCCTGGCACAGCGTACTGCAGACATCCTGACCTTAGGTGGGAGAATGAAGAAAGCCTCCGCGGTGTTTCTTAGCACAAAGCTTCCTCCACTCCAGTGCTCTGGCCAAATCCTAGCATGGCTGATTCTACCTACCAAAAAGAATTAAAAAATAATGATGATGATGATGATAACAAAGAAAATCCCAGCTGGGAAAAAACAAAACAAAACAAAACAAAACAAAACAAAACAAAACAATCTCTGAACCAGAAAGGATAAAATGCTGTGTCACAGTGGAGAACAACTGTACCACCGCAGCAGGAGTGAGACCCAGCACAGGGCAGTAAATCTCTGTAAAATCCTTCCGGAATGGAAGCACCAAACAACCAATAAAATTTGCTGCTTTTTTTCAACAAATCATATTAATCCAGAAGTAGTCACCTAAAAGCTGTTGTTGTCTCAGAACTAATTTTAGTCAAGGAAACCACGTAAAGTAAACTGGATAGTAAGGAGCTCAGACTAAAAATACTTGAGAGCAACATTTGATACCTTTGGATCAGGGAACGTGGCTGAGCGAGTAAACAAGCTACGTACTCCTACAACACACCTCACCAGAGCGGTATGGGTGAGCCTAGCAAAGTTGTCTATCCTGAGAGAGGACAGCGTGTAAGAAGGATGACCCATGGGTAAAGTCCATGTGCTCTCCTAAACTCTCCCTTCCGGCCTTTGCCAAGCGCTAGTCTGAGTGTCCGAGGCAGTGTGTGAGGGACTCCTCCACTTTGACAGCTCAAGACTGGGTGAAGAAGCCAGAGCACAAATTTACTCCATCCTTTCTTCTTCCTTCTTGCCCTGGATGTCTTCAAGGGAAAGGGAAGGGCTGTGGAGCAGTTTATCCTCCCTTTCTCTGCTTGAGCTGGGATTATCAGTCATGTCACTGGGCAAGGACTGAGGAACACCAAAACCTCCCTTTTTCTCCTCATGTAAAGTAAGTAAGGGCACATTTTGGCCCCTGTTTGATTGCCTCAGTGGTTCAATGAAAGCTAGGTTGTTTGCAAACTCAGTTTCCCCAGGACAAGCGGTGCAAGAGGAACTAAATCCTGCTAAAAGAAGTGTTGGCTTGAACTTGGCAAATGAGGATGTGGTATCTCCAGGCCGTAAATCAGAGCCTTTCAGCTCCCCGACAAGAATGTGCAAGTCACTTCTCTGGAGGACTGAGAGCATACTGAGGCCACACAGAAGCCAATTCCTGGATCCAGAGCTGCAGTACTGGGATGTTCGTGTGACAGGTAATTAGTTGTTCACTAAGGACTTTCCCCAGTAGCACTCCTCCAACATGGCTAAGAACTAGAGGGACCTGACGTGTGTTTGAATGAGCTTTTCTCTGTGTTCCTCTCCACCTATCCAGGTTTTTTGTTTTCTTTTGCTTTTGTTTTTTTCCTTTCTACTAGCCCACTAACAGATGAACACTAACGAGGCTAATGTCTGGCATACTGCTTGTCAGCTGTCAGTTTAATCCCATGTAATAATAACTGCTTAGCGTTTAGTGGCTTTAGTCTTTCACCAGAATCCCAGTATTTCTGCTTTTTTTTTTTTTTTTTTTTTTTTTTTTTTTTTTTTTCCTGCTTATCTTCACTGAAATCCAGATGCAACCTGATGTAACTGGGCTTAGAGTCGTTGCCTTTAGCGGAGCTCCACCAATTTAGACTGGCTGAGAGGTTTTTTCACAGTGACATTCTTTGGACCAGGACTTTCTGTTTTAGATCCAAAATATAAGCAAGCAACGATTTATGTGGGTCTATCAGTCCAGGCTACAAGTATATGGCTTAGCAGGCAGCTCTGACCACTGGTTCTTCCATCAAGTGTCAAGATGGGGGTGGGTATAAAACACTTTAAAGGTGTGCAGGAGTTGGATAGAGAAGGCTGTGCTTCTCCTGGAGTCATCCAGCTATTATGGCACACAAATCAACATCAGTGGGATTTTCCACATTTGTGTAGGTGTCTGTCTATTAGTTGCCTGTGACCGGGACACGTAAGTATGAGTCTGGTCTTTAACACTCCAACTTGTAAGCTTCAGCTAGTCTGTAAATCCACATTTATTCCTTACCCTGTACAATTGCCTTGCTTGTTGCTAACATTATGAATTGTTGTTCTCCTGACTCTACGTGTGGCACATGGCAAGTGTGGGTGCTTTGAGATTTTGCAGGTTCAGCCTCGGGTGTCAGCACTCCCTCCATATTACACCATCGTGGGACAAATTCAGTTCATGCCAGGCACTAGCCTCATTCTACCTTCTGACCTGCTCTAGCACTGGGAAGTGCTATTCAGTATGGCATTAATCATTTGGTATTCATAAGCCCTTTCCATTCTTTTTTCTATTACCCTTCCCACGTGTTCCCCTACCAACAGCATGTCCTCACAGTACCCTTTATGGATGCATTCAACCTTCTGGGTACAGCTATCATTCACCCCTGCTTCATCTGACATACCTATTACTTCCCCATATACAGGCAATATGTCTTTCATCCACAGTTTCACAAGCTTTGAATTTTGTTTGCTGAATCACTGAAATTTTGTGTTAGCTCCTCCACCACCCTTTTAAAGGAAGAACGTCCACACCAGATTGAAACTACCCTTGGTGATCTACATTTGGTGATTTCATTGGGGATAGTGAGGCTACAGGAGTCATCATGCTGATTAGTGCCCAGATACCACAGCAAAAGGGACTTCGGAAAACAGTAAGATTAATAGGCTTTGGAAAAAAAAAATAAATCCTGTGGTAAAATGTGTTAGAACAGGGACACACGGTCAGAGGAGTGGTGGTAGGAGCTTTCCCAACTAAGAATTTTTTAGCAGGAATTGAACTAATAAAAGCAATAATGACAAGATGATGAGGATGATATGGTTTCTGAGTTTCTCATGCTGTGATCTGTTCAAGAACATGAGAGTCCACTACCTACTACTTACTGTTAGGGTATGCCTTACCAGATGCAGTCCAACTATTGCCCAGTAATGTGTACACTGAGCAGTGCACTGGTTAGACACCCTGCTCCTCGCTGTAACAGGATGTGGCTGGTGGATCAGAAGACAAAGCCGTGTCTGATGTTATTAGCTGAATGCTTTCACGGAGCTGTGCCATTATGGAACTTCAGCAGAAACCCAAGTCTTACTGACCAAGGTGATTACCTTACGAGTTTAACAGAAAAATAATGACTTCTCTTTTCAGCCCTACATAAAAACCGTGGAATTTTAGGCCCTAAGCATCCTAATAATAGCATTACCAAATCAAGTGTGTGTATATACGTATATATAAATATATAGAGAAATTCCAACCGCGTTTACGTGATGGGGTACGGAATGTTCTGCAGGCCTTTGTTATTCACCGAAATAAAGCACCAGCGGGAATGAATGGCGTGCAATATAATCAGGGGTCTTTGTTGTTTTCAGAAACCTAATGAATGAACACATGACGTCCACTGGTTCCTGACATGACAGGCATATGGTGTTCATAAATAAATAAAAAGCCCGATGATACAGTTACGTTGATACCAGCAAGTGGCAACATTTGGTAAGCTGGCAAGTTGTCTGCTCTACCTTGCCTTGACAGTAAGAAGACACAAATCTCTGAGTAAAAACAATTAATTGAAATTGTAACTGATAGCTTTTGGGGCTTCCTCCAATGAAGTCACGTTACTAGGTTCCAAAAGAACCATTAGATCACCTTTTAACATCCAGCTTCAGATATATTTATAACAGCCATTAAAATTATTTAGAAGGCAATCGTCAGCCACAGTAGCATTTAACAGCCGTTCACTACATCCCTGGTAGAGGTTCACAGTTACATCAAAGAACGAAGCGGGACCTAGGTGCCCACGTTTTACTTGGATTCAAAACTGAGATCCTGAATCTAGCAAAGTAGTCACCTACTGGACCGATACTTCTCTCTGGTTTTACAGGGGTCTACTCTTAGTGGTGCTTACTGAGCATGGTTGACCCAGGTTCAGTTTCTAAATCTCTTTATGGGCTCAGGAACCCCACTTTGTCATCTCTCCCAGGAATGCTCTACATATACACCCCTCTTTCCACACATTCTCACTGCTTGCCTGAATTGTCACACTTCCACCAGTGGCATCACTACTGCAACATTTGGAGGACATAGGAATAAGCATCTTTCTTCCACACCTGCATTGCATAGCCACAACCCGATCCCTAGCAGTGATTCATCCCCTTCCATAACACAAAACAAATATTCACAAGCACCCAAGATAATCACTGTGGTGTACTTGCCCACAGAACTCACCTCAGGGCAATAAAAGCTGTACAATCTACACCTTTACATCTCAAAACCCAACGGTCTGGCAGCAAGCTGAGTCACACGTCCCCCTCTCAGGATTCATGACTTCATCAGTTTCCTGTGGTACCTCCGGGCTCTGCAGATGAACCTTGCCCTTCGGGCTTCACAGTGCTGAACCCTGACCCACGGCGCAAAACCACAAGCCCTAATCAGGCCAGAACATACCTGAGGTGGGTAAAGTCTGAAGGAACTATCCCTCTGGGGTCTTCGTGGTCACCTCCCTTGCGTTAAGGCTAGCCTAATATTTGGGATTAGGGTACGGTTTATGAGAGCAGTATTTATTTCTGAATTTTACTGGAATTGCCATCCTAAATTGAGGATGCTAATGCAGTAGTAGAATGGCTGTAGCACAGCTTAATAGGATACATTTTGACCTGTTAATGGCCAGGGTTAACACCTCTCCTGGTTTTAGAAAAGAGAATGTGTTAGTCTGATAGAATCGGGAAAAACAAACAAACAAAAAAAACCTGCTTTGGATCACAGCAGTAATAATTCTTGTGTAAAGGCTACAGTCAGTGTTCATTTTAGGGGCAAACTAGGGCTTGAGGGAGAACTGGATGGAGAATTATGACCATCTTAATCCTGTATGAAATATCAAACGAGAAGGGGGATGGTGCTGGTAAAATCGGACACGATCCCTCTTTTAAATTAAACTGTGGCTAGATTGAAGATTGGGATTAAGGTGTCTGAGAAATGAGGTTACAGAACTGTCATCCTAGAACCAGTGGGTTCCAAAGGCTGTGGTCCCGTTGGTAGTTTCAGCTTAAGGTTAGAAAAAAGAAGAGCAAGGACTGCTGATATTGTATACGAATCCTGCAGGAGCCACTGAGATAGGATGAGGCTAGTCCACAGGGAAATCTAATGAGCAACAGCTTGGGCTTGGATGGTTGTGCTTGGATGACTGTCCTGAGTCAAGGCTAGTGCTAGGGCTGAGAGTCGAATTTCAGAATTCTGTGGGAACTACAAACTAAGTTGATGGTTGTTCTTGAAAGGAAGAGGTCGTATGGAATGGATGATAGCTACTTTCTAGGACACAAGCAGTTGAAGATCTGTTGTCATTTCTTCTGTTTGCAAGAGCCTCCAAAAGCTAATCCTGACCAAACCCTGAGTGTGCTCTCTGCCACAAAAGTATCTTAAACTCATTACACACCAGCCAGCACCACTCTTGTTGTTGATGCTGATTAGCTTATTAACACCTGTTGCCCAGAACCCTAATATCCACAATTATGGTCAGGCCCATCACTTCTGCCCGGACAAGAGTGGCCATACCCTAATCACTCCTGAAAGGATTTCTGCCCTTCCATGAACCCTGGCTCTTCCAAGGGACAGCGAGAAAGCCGTCCCCAGTTCTCCTTAACCCTAAGTGAGCTCAGATCAACCGCCCCTGTTGGTATTCATCCCTGTGAACTCTGCGCAGGATTAAGGCAGGTAACAGAATCAAGAATGGGGAATTACAGCTCCTGTGCAGAAAAGCAGAGGCTCGAGGAGCTAGGCTTACTGTAGGCTGGGAGACAGCTCCTGCAAAGGCTGTAAGGGTCTAGAAAAGGATCACTGCACTCTAGGTAAACAGACCAAGGATGAGAATAGGAAAATAAGGATAATTATCCTAGGATTTAAGGTATGGTCAGGAAGAAAGAAGAGATTCAGCTGTTAGAGAAGATAGATGGAGTAGAAAAGACGATGGAGAAAGCAGAAACAGTACTGGCTTTGAAAAAAATAAATCCAGAAAGCTTTGCTTGACTAAATTTTAAAGTCGTGATTAAAACAGGTGTGGGACACTACAGGCTGAGGATGTATTTATAACAGCCATTAAAATTATGTAGAAGGCAATCGTCAGCCACAGTAGTATTTAACGACCATTCACTACATCCCTGGTAGAGGTTCACAGTTACATCAAAGAATGAAGCAGGACCTAGGTGCCCAGGTGCCCACGTTTTACTTGGATTCAAAACTGAGATCCTGAATCTAGCAAAGTAGTCACCTACTGGACCGATACTTCTCTCTGGTTTTCAGTGGTCTCCTGTTTGTGGTGCTTACAGCAGCATGGTTGACCCAGGTTCGGTTTTCAAATCTCTTTATGGGCTCAGGAACCCCAGTTTGTCACCTCTCCCAGGAATGCTCTACATATACACCCCTCTTTCCACACGTTCTCACTGCTTGCCTGAATTGTCACACTTCCACCAGTGGCACCACTGCTGCAACATTTGGAGGACATAGGAATAAGCCTCTTTCTTCCACACCTGCATCGCAAAGCCACAACCTGATCTCTAACAGTGATTCACCCCCTTCCAAAACACAAAACAAATATTATCACAAGCACCCAAGATAATCACTGTGGTATACTTGCCCGCAGAACTCACCTCAGGGCAATAAAAGCTGTACAATCTACACCTTTACATCTCAAAACCCAACGGTCTGGCAGCAAGCTGAGTCACACGTCCCCCTCTCAGGATTCATGACTTCGTCAGTTTCCTGTGGTACCTCCGGGCTCTACAGATGAACCTTGCCCTTCGGGCTTCACAGTGCTGAACCCTGACCCACGGCGCAAAACCACAAGCCCTAATCAGGCCAGAACATACCTGAGGTGGATATAATCTGAAGGAACTACCCTTCTGGGGTCTTAGAGAAGATAGATATAGCAGAAAAGACGATGGAGCAGAGAAAGCAGAAACAGTACTGGCTGGGAAAAAAAAATCAAGAAAGCTTTGCTTGACTAAATTTTAAAGTCATGATTAAAACAGGTGTGGGACACAACAGGCTGAAGATATATTTTTTGTTCTTGTGGAGTCTGTAGGTCTGCAGCAGTAGAGTTGTAGTACAAGACAAGTCTATTGCCATGGGGGTGACCTTTCTTTGTCGAAGGCTGTGGTTAGTTGGTTGGAATCACATCTGCACCTTAGGAGAGAAGGGCCAGGGAAGGCTTGTTCATTACAGGAACCTGTAAAGCTGCCAAAATTGTAAGAAGATTGGTGACATCTGAGGGAAATCAGCTGTGTTTTTTTCATTAAAACATGCTTCCTGGACCTCAAGTTAATGATGTAACTGCGGCTGTGTTTTGATTTGCAACATAAGGACTCAGGCTAGTGTAAGGTCTGCCTGGTGAACCCTAGCTAAATGTAAGAAGTACACCCTTTATTGGGATATAGATACGGAAAGTTAAGTTTTGTTTCTGCATCCTGGAAGACAGGCTGTTTTAGATTAGGTCAGTCAAAATCACCAATCTTCCACTTAGGATCAATTTTTTGTTGGGCCATGGATACAATTTGGAACTGGTGGGACTGATTGGCTCCATCTATTGCTGCAGGATCTATGGGCTAGAAGACTGGGAAGAGGACTACCACCAGCCTGGGTAGATGCATCGCACTTAAAATTGTGGGCAGGGAAGAATTTCTTGAATTATGCTAGAGGAAGGCATAGGTTACCAAGTTTTACAGCAGGCAGCTGTGGGTTTGGAGAGGGAACTTGGACAAGGGGGATGGGAAGAGCACTTAGCTGCCAAAGTGGGATCTGAGATTAAAGACATCAAGGCAGTTCAAATGTTCTGTTTATCCCTGGAACCCATAAAGTCCACAGGTCTGGTACGAGCATCTTACCATTGACTGTATGAAGTCGTTAATAAATTATGGTAAACAAACTGTATTTGTTACTGGATTCTAGGGGCAAGTTAAGCTGAGAACTGATTTCTGAAAGCCACTCTATTGGACGAGATATGATGATGTGTTTCGTGTTAGAAGGAACCTTTGTGCTGAAGATCTGCTAGCATTAGGTGACTGTAGAAGGCTGATGATATTTGGAAAACAGCTGATGTAGATAGCCATAAAATATCAAGCTATGGCAAGTGAGGATTGCTGGGCAAGAGAATAAAGATCTGTTTGGGATGAAAGAGGCAAATTCCTCAATACAGCTGCAATGCACTTCTGGGATAGGCAAGAGTTGCTTTGCTGGCCTTAATGCAACAGTTTGTGTAATGCCTGCAAAACGAGGTTTATTCACCTTTCCTGCAAACACCACAAGACAAGCAGGAGTGCTGGGCACAGCAAGGAACAGGGAATGTGATGGGCTGTGCTTGGTTTTAGGCAAAGTTCATCCTTTGGGCCCACAAGGGGCTGAGAAGTTAACTGTCCTCCTAAGTGGCGTGTGCTGTAGTGCTCTGGGGAGGATGGACACCTTTAGCTGGGTTACTATTTAAGTTCAGGTCACTTCAGGGCAACCTGTGCCAGCGCTCCATCACCCGCACAGCACAGAGGTGCTGCCTGGTGTTTAGACAGAACCTCCTGTGCTCTGGTTTGTGCCCCTGGCCTCTTGTCCTGGCACTGGGCACCACTGAAAAGAGCCTGGCTCTGTCTTCATTGCAACCTCCCATCAGGTATTTATGCACATTGATAAGATTCTCTTTGGGCCTCCTCATTTCGAGGCTAAAACACCCCAGCTCTCAGCCTTTCATGTCTCAAGATGCTGCTAGTGTTGCTAGGCTTGACTCTCAGTTAGTGCTAACATACTAACCCACATGATTTAATCTAGACAACCTTAAGGCTCAGGTAGGGTCTGGGGCTATTTTAGTGACAGCATGGCCTAGGTGCTGTACAGGTCATTAGAGCTAGGACAAAGGCTGCTGAAAAAAATCAGATGAGGCCAAGGTTAGAAATGGGGCAAGCAGAGCCTGAGTCTAGGGGTAAGTGTTGTCATTACGGGTAAGGTTTGGCACTGGAGGGGCTGAAAAGTTTTGTCAAAGTCCCTTTTGCAAACCGGTGCTCTTTTTTACAAGGGACTCCATAGGAAAAAAGCCCAACAGCCAAAAGCACTAGGAGAAGGAGGAAAACAAGACACCAGCGCTTACCAAGACTCCTTGACCACGAGGGAATGGCCCAGAAGCCCATACACATGTGCACATCTGTTTTCTCCAGTCCTTAACCTTCCTCCCATCCTTCCTGCCGCCCTGTGAGCCTCCCTCCCCCCCCGGCTCCCACAGCCCTCCGTGTCCCGCAGGCCCCCTCTCTTTTGTTCCTCGGGGTCCTGCCCGGTTCTTGTTCCTCCAGGAGGGAAAGAGGAGGGAAGCAGCTTCCCCAATTCCTCTCTCCCTGTGCCCAGAGCAACAAGCAGCCACCAGCACCACCCCAGCACCCCAGCTTTGCCCCCCCGGGGGCACAGGACCGAGGGGCTGGGGTCTCAGCTGGGGGTGCAACCACGCGATGCTCTCCGCGGTGACCCCCCCGGGGCTCCCCTCATCCACCCGAGCCCAAGCGGCTCTCGGGGGTCTCGCAGCCCCATTTTGGGCTCCCCCCGTTCCCGGAGCAGCCCCTCAGCCCGGGGGTCCCGGCGTGCGGGGGGCATCCAGCTGTTGCCACCAGCTGTGTGCCAGCCCCGGGGGGGCCGGGCTGCCGCCGTCCCCGCCCCTGCGAGGAGGAGAAGGAGGAGGAGGAGGAGGAGGAGGAACCGAGAGTGCCCGACCCGGTGCCTTTTAGGGGGGGGGAGGCCCCGCGCTCTGTGCCGCTGTGCTGTGCGCTGCTCTGCCCTGCCAGCCGCTGTTCCTGCCGGTTCCCGGTGCTTCTCCTCCTCCTCTCCTCCTCCTCCTCCTCCTCCTCCTCTTCTTCCTCCCGCCGCCGACCCCGAGAGCCCCGGAGGCTCGGGAGGGAGGAGGCAGCTCCGAGAGGGACTGGCCCCTTAGCCGGGTGCCGGGGGGAGCCGGGAGGGCCGGGAGAGAGGGGGCCGGCGAGCCGGGAGCAGGGGGAGCGGAGGCGAGGGGCTCAGCGGGCAGCGGGGGGCTCGCCCCGGCCGCCACCCCTGGGTGCGGAGCGCGGCGCCCCGCGGGGCCGGGCGGAAGATGCACACGACGCAGAAGGACACCACCTACACCAAGATCTTCGTCGGGGGGCTGCCCTACCACACCACCGACTCCAGCCTGCGCAAGTACTTCGAGGTCTTCGGCGACATCGAGGAGGCGGTGGTCATCACCGACCGGCAGACCGGCAAGTCCCGGGGATACGGCTTTGTAAGTGCCGGGCGGCGGGGAGCGCGGCCGGGGCGGCGGGGGGCTGTGCGCCCCCCTCCTCTGCTGTTTTGCCCCCTTTTCCCTCCTTTTCTGATCTTTCTTCTTCTTTCTCTCTCTCTCTCTCTCTCTTCTCTCTCTCTCTCTCTCTCTTCTCTCTTCCTCTCTTTCTCTTTCTTCTTCTCTTCCTCTCTTTCTCTTCTTCTTTTCCTTTCCTTTTCTTCCTCTTTCTTTCCTTTCCTTCCCTTTTCCCTCCCCACCAAGGCGTGGAGCACGGGGAATCTCCTCCTGGCTGCCCTGCCAGAGCGTCTGCTGCTCCCCGATTACAGGGTTATCTGCCCGGCAGGCTGCCGCCAGCAGGGCCTGGCCCGTTCCCTCCACCCCACAGCCCTTCAGCCCCTCAGCCCCTCAGCCCACTCCCCTAAGGGTGGCTGAGGGTCGGGGGCTGCCCCACTACCACCCACCGTGACCGTAACCCACCCACCCACCCTTCCCCAGGTCACCATGGCTGACAGAGCCGCTGCGGAGAGAGCCTGCAAGGATCCCAACCCCATCATCGATGGCAGGAAAGCCAACGTCAACCTGGCGTACCTGGGTGCCAAGCCGAGGATAATGCAGCCAGGTGAGGATGTGGACCCCCTCCCACGGCTTGTCTGTGGGCGCCCGAGCTTTCTGCAGCCAGAGAAGCTTTTAAAAGGTGGCGCCGTGCTGCACGTCCCGCGGGTGTGCTTTGGTTTCGGTTTTTGAAGGCAGCGTGTAGGCACTTTTCTGCCTATTCCCTACACTGTTTAAACGCCAAAAGCAATCGGTGCTGATGTTATCTGAAGTTCTGTTATCTGAAGTTTTGCGCAGCTCGGACACTTTCAGTGGTTATTCCCACTGCGGGGAACGCGGTGGCGCTGACCATTTACAGTATCGCTGCAGGGAAAGATCGGCCCAGGGATGAATCGCCTCCAATGTGTGCGGTCTTATTAATACAAACAGTAACTTAAAGCAACGTCCCGAGGCAGATGGGAGCTATTAGGCAGACTTTAAAATGAAACGGCTCTTCCTAAGCCCACATCTGAGCCAGTGTGATGTCCTGTCCGCTTCCCAAACTTCGCACTGAGAGAGCTGGGGACGCAGTGTGTGTGTGTGCACGCTGCTGCTCTGAAGGAAGCTGCTCTGAATTTCTGCGTGCTTAGCCCGAGGAACTCTCTTGTGAGTAATTTAGTGCCCACAAAGGAAAGGGGGGGTTCATTGTGCTTGGGCAGCATTTGGAGAAGAGAAATGAAGTTAGGATTTGACCCCCATGCTCAGTCCTCATGCAGAGAGGGCTCAAATTTGATC